CGTAGTACTGGCCGCTGTGGGAGCGCGGAATGGACTGGAGGGTCACCGAGGTGGGGAGGATGGAGATGAGGGGATGCGAGTGGGAATGGCTGGTGCTGGCCGTGGGCACCACGACGACACCCGCGCCGCTCGTCGTCTGGGTGCTGACGTGGAAGTGCAGCTGCCGTTTGCGATTGCTGGGGGAGGAGGGCGAGCAGGGTCGGAGGAGAGCGCCTTGGGGACTGTAAAATACGCAGAAATTAGGGAGTGCCGCTAAAATGTGCCCGTACAAATTGGATTAATGTTTTATGCAGCCAGCTGGAAAACCGCCGTTAAACGCGCATGGCAAAAGTGTTCGACATTTACCAGCGTTTCCATTTTAATTCTACTATTAATATTTTATAATTTTTTTAAAATAAATTTTTTTGTGCTTCAAAGAACTGGATATATTGCTGTAGCCGCCCGCACAAGTTAGACCACAGAGTCGGTACACGGGAGAAAACCGCAGCCAATATACCTACTCTAACCGGGCAAAATGCACGGCTGCCGTACCAAGCAACCATTTGATTGTCAGTGATTATTTTTCCTTGGGAAACTGAGTGATCGAATTAAAAATCACATCATTGTCGTTTTTCTTTATTTCCTGGAGTTATTATTTCCATCTCGCAAGAATCTCCACGTACAGAGTACTGCAACGTGCAAAGGCTACTTGGTGCACGCTAACTCACCCCTGCCCTGCCAGGGGCACCCCAAAAACCACAACAAACCAGGTTTACCAACCAAATGAGCAGAGCTCCAAGTTTTTTTGCTTCCTTTAAGTTTCAATGCTAGTAAAAACCGTCTCTTCAGTGAAATTGTGAATTTAGAAAATTATTAAACGTCTGTGAACGTAGTCATCTAACCGTGCATTTTGCCCGGTTAGAGTAGGTATATTGGCTGCGGTTTTTTCCCGTGTACCGACTCTGTGGTCTAACTTGTGCGGGCGGCTACAGTAATCTAAGTAAAATATACACCACTGAAAATAATATTTAAAAAAATTAAAATGCTAAAGAAATCATTTGTGTAAAAAAAAATTGTATATATAAAAATATACTTGTATGTATATATACGCGTAATATATACTTGTATATATAAAAAGAAGGAGTTTTAACATTGTGCATTTAAATTTTTTTTTAATAATGACAATTATTAATTTCTAGTTCCAGATAATCCTTTTATATATTTTAATGTTTCTGTGGGCGTTTCCCTGAATTATTTATAATATTGTTAATTTGTTTCCTATTAACAGGGCGCTGAGGAAGCGGTTAAAAGGAAATTAATCTTCTTTTATGGATTGGCCCAGATGACCGGCAAATGACCCATCGCTCAAACCACAAACGAGATCTGCGGGCACCACCGAAAATTGCCCAACGAGCACATCTTTCCATTTCGTGATTAATATCGCATTTTCCACGCAGCTAATGACATCCGGAAATATTAAAATAATCGATCAATTTAATTCCACATAAATGGAATTATTTATATCAAAATTTAAAATCGTAATAGATTCATCTTTTTATTTTTTCCTTAATGATAATTTTGAATTCAAACGAGCACGTCTTCCGATTTATGATTATTATCTGATTTTTTCCGCACAGCTAACGACTTCCGGAAAATATTGAAAATAATCGTCAACTGAATTTAAAAAAATTAAATTAAAAATATTTTAAAATTTAAAATCTTCCTAAATAAATTTAAAATCTTCCTAAATAGACAATGCTATCGCTTGTCCACTACTGGACTTCGGTTGCGTCACTGTGGTCAGCACGCCCGCATTGGCCAGAGGCCTTCAAACATGCTTGAAGAGGAACGATTTCCCCTCCCCCTTCAAACACCGATTTTTTGTGTGACAAACGCCTGTTTGTCACACAGTTTTCGATTCCCCACATACATTGTTTGACATGAGTTACACTCACTGAATTACGGTTTCTACACATACTTGCGTCAAACATTGCTTGACACTCGCTTCAAACGCGCGGCAAACCGAAGTCTGTGGGGGCAATAAGTGCAAACCGCGGGTACGCTTTAACACTATTTAACGGTTTCAAAATGTTATTCAGATACTTGATTTAGGGCAGAAATGCAGGTTTAAGTGCAAACCTGCAATTTGAAAATTTGACTGTGTGCATGTACAGTTGTCTGTTGTGGATATGTGACTATGATTGTGTTTACGCATTAACTAAATGCGAAAATGATACTGGCAGTATCCCCATAAGAAACTGTTTATTCAAACGTAAAGGTGGTTTTACTGGAAACGGTGACGCTAGTACATATTTGCATTAAGTACTTATGTATGTACATCCTGGATGAAATGCAAATGCCGTAAAAAATAAACATGAGAGTTTGGTGTAGTGGCGGTAACGGCACTGCTACCAAGAATGTTGCTAGCAGTGTTGTATTTACTATTGCCCCAAAACCTTACTTACTTTTTACTTTTTGTCTGGCCATTGACTTTACTATTTACTTCACTATTTACTTTTCATAATCTTTCTTCTTTACTTTTACTTACTTTTCACTTTTTTTATCGTAACCTTACTTACTTTTACTAACTTAGTAATTACTAGTAAAATAGTATTTACTATTCGTGTTTTGCGATAAATCGCAGTACGAAACAAAAGTTTTCAATTTTGCCATATTCGTTTCTTAAGCATATCACGTTTCCAGAACAAAAATAACTGTTTGTACTGTGGGACAGTGTGCTGTGTGCACACCGAGTAATTTTAATTTTTGCTCAGAAATTTGTTTCACTGGAGCGATTTGGTTCTGTGTGTAAAATTACAGTACGTACTTTATTTGACAAAAATTAGCAGAAGTCATTACACCGTATCCGGTGCCAAGGCAAGTATTGCAGTGAAGCGGCACTGGCTAATATGCCTGGCAGTCACGTAACTCGCCCACCTAAGTGGTTGAAAGCGTCTGCGGTGCAGCGAAATTTTAACGATTCCGAAGAAAACCTGTTCTGCCAAACGTAACTGCTATGGAAGAAAGCATGTTCAGCAGAATTCTATTGATGTCCGTCACTTGAGGACGCTTAGTAAAAAGACTGATTTACTAATTAAACTATTCCCGTTTCGCGCCTCTTACTTTTACTTACTATTTACTTCTCAAGCCTCGGCTGCTCTTACTTTTACTTTAATTTTTCTTTTCCGTTTTACTGCTTACTTACTTTTTACTTAATTAGTAAGAGGCGAAAACGGCTTACTAAGTAAGGTTTACTATTTACTTTTACTAAGTAAAGCAACACTAGTTGCTAGCCTTAAAAACGCTTAATCGTGAATTTTTAGGATGAAACCAAGAAACTTGCGCGGCACTACCAGCAGAATTCCTGTAAAGAACGCTTTACATTTCAAGTGCCGCTTTGTATTTGCAGTCGTCATCCGAAAAACCATAGCTGCATTTTTAGACGCGGTTTTTAAAGCGATGCATCAAACTGCGGCAGTCACTGAGCACTATTGTCAAACTCATTTTTGAGACAGTGCTGCCTTGACAAACCAGCGGGATGAAAAGCAGCGACGCATTTCATGAAGTTAAACTTATACGTTATAACAGTCGTATTAGTGAATCCCAGGAAATCCCTGCGGTACTAACCATAATTATAGGTTGTTTATATTTAATTACTGCCTGTGCCAAATGTAAACTAACCTGGCGGCTGACAGACAGGCTATTTTACCGTATAGTTAGTTCTACACAGGGCGCCATACAGTATAGTGTTTTTTCAATGTTTGAAATTTAACTCATTGTAATATTATGTAATTCGGTGTAAACTGTAAAGTGTAAACCTACGCAGATTCAATGATCTGTGCACTGGTTGCGGCCGAATAAAAGTAATACGGTTCACTAATGGTGCAGTAATAAACTGAAAAGCAAAGCAATCAGATGAAGAACATAGTGATGGCAAAATGTGCACGTCGACACAGAAGCAGACAGCATCCTGACTGCTTTCGACTTTCGACTAAATTCAATTTATTGATATCAAAAAATTAAATTACATCAAAATTTTAATTACCTATACATAATATCAAAATGCGGCGCAGTCGTGGTTTCCTCAGGTTCTGCTTGTATGCTTCAAGAAGTTGTGTGTTCCTTTTTAATATGGACATTTTTTGTTGTAAACTGACCGCTTATGTTATTTGTTTCGTTTTCTATTTGTTTGTTTTGTGCCATCATTAACTTTGTAGACATATGGAGCCTAACAGTTTTATCTTAATACAAAATATTACAGAATGTTTTGCTACATAATTTGCTGATAAGAGCGCTTTATAAATTTGTTCATTTTCACTTCACTTTGTGCAAAATCCATTATTTACGCATTTACTAACAGCAATTTACGTCGGAAGCGCTTTTGTAAAAGTACACTGAATCATAAAATTGCCGTTCATCCGTCCTGACGTATTAAATTTCTCTACGAGAAATTTGGCACGCAGTGTTTTCATGGTACTGGCAGTTTGGCAAAATAATCGTACCTTCAAAACTATTTCAGTAAATGACAGTTCAACGTTTATTTTCTTATATATTCAACCCTTGCTCAAAAGAATAAGTTTAAAGAATAACATTATCTTTTGTGGTCCAACTTGAAACAACCACCAACGATTACCATACCGGGTGCAGTTTGTTTACGAGTACAGCATAAGCAAGTCTGATCTTGAGCGATTTGCCGGGAAAGCTTACGTAAACAGCATGTTCCATGGAACAATTTCGTGTTTCAAGATATTATAAGGCGAAATTCAAAAGTAAGCCTTACAAAAATCCCTGACAGCTTGCAACACCAGCGTTTACCAGACCAAAGTACTCATAATAACAGCAAATTCGGCGCTTAATACGGAACGTTCTTTCCGGTTATTCAAAGACCCTTCAATCAAGGTCACCCCAAACTATCGGGAATCATGCATAGTCCAGTGCCAGTTTCATGCCACGAGTGCTCGTACAAGGCGTATAAAAGTTGAGTAAAACATCCGCTGTTTTCGAACTGTTGTTTTCAACAAGTAGATTTAACCCTTTCGTACATGATTGCCGAGTCGTTATATATAACAAGTTACTAGTTTGTCGCGGGCGGTAACACTCCATAACTCCATTTTCTATGGCGACGCAGCTGATATTTGTGTTGACCTTTGCTGCCATTTTTCTAGGACCGATTTCAGCGGTAAGTGACAGAAAGTTTTGCAGAGACATTTGCATTGTGTTACTTTCTAAATTTTTTTAAGTAAACTGTAAAATTTTTAAATATCAGTAGCTTTACCAGTACTAGTAACGAATGCTGTGGCGCTGGTTCAAATGGTTCTGGATCAAAATAATTGTCATATTGCAGTATCTTTGCGCTGCTTTTGGCACCAGAGTTTGAAGAAATTATGAGTATATTACAAGCGGTTTTTTGCGCATTACTTAAACGCGTCTGAAATTTTGTACTTTACCTTTACTTCACTGCTTTCTTTGCCACGAAATTTTCGCTTACGATAAGTGCGGTGCAAGTGCGCATAGGTATATCTGTACACGAATCGTTTTGCAATGAAACGTTGCAACTGATAGAAAATACTGCGTTGGGAATGGAAAAAAGCAAAAGCTTTAGCTGATGCACCGATGAGCCACTCTCTATGAAAAACTGAGGAATTTTTGTAGTGTGACGTGCATTTACAGTGGATAAATTAAAGTTTGTACTGCATAAATGTTTAACATACCAGCATTTCCAAAAATTTCACAAACGTATGCTTTGGCATGCTAAAAATGAATTGCAGACTGCAAAGTTATATTACAGATATAGAGCAGTGCTTCTGCTAAAGAAAAAGCAGCACAGATTATGAAATTCCTTACTGATTGTTATTTGGGTTTTTTTATTTAGTTGCGCGTGGAACGTTGTCAGCAGGAAGGCGAGGGATGCGCGCGTAATGTATCAAGTATACCACCATGCTGTCCGAATGCTGTTTGTCAATATACCGATCCAACATTCGGATTCTGTCGTGCAAAACAAGGAAGCAACGGGTCACCATACCCAGCATCACCCACGAGGCAAAACCGGTCATTGGATGGAAGTGGTACGAAATAAAAAGCACAGATTATCGCTTAAAAATGTTACCTTCAGTTTTTATATGGCACATAAATTGTTCATTAACAACTTTAAAAAATATCTCACGACTAAAGCTTTTCAAGATTAAGCCAGAAACACTTGTACCGGTATGCTTTACGGAAAAACATTCGCGTTGCATTTCTTCGCCTAATAGCCAAAAATGTTTCAGCTGATAAAATATCTCCATTTGAAGGATTTGGATACTGTAGTTGGATAATAATCATTTAATACTCGTAATAGACATTATAATAATAATGAGGATCGGCCAACTTTCCCAGCACCGTCTTTTCAATTTGCCTTTCAGTTTCAACTTTGCATTTTTGCCTTTATCGCTGTAAAAACCGTTATATAAAGAATATAGGTTACCGTTAAAAAGTTTGCCGTTCGAAATTATTTGCCCTTAAAATAAAAAATCGCTCCGGAAAAGAACACCGTGCTGGTTTTAAAATTCTTTCTTGTTATTTCCTAATGTAATTTTCATGTACTGGCTGTACAGTATATCCTGTCTGCCTCTACTTATATACGAGTATAATTTCCGAAGAGCTGCAAATCCATTGTACGACTACCCTTTCTCTGCCGATTCGAGCGTATCATACGAAGTATTCCTTACGGTACAATAGAAGTGTTTTTCAAAATTCAACTGTGGATCCCAACAATTGCTGGTTGTTCCGCTCTCTCTCCATCTCCATCTTCACATTTTTTATGCGGTCAAACTGCACATTTTTTATGCGGTCAAACTGCGAGTGTCCATCAGAATAAGTGCAATCGAATGATATGTGCATTTTATTATACGCTGGCTTTGATATAAACTGTATATATCTGTACCGCTTTCTTGGATACACATAATGTCAAGGTCGCACGCTTTTTCTTTTTGTTTGCCGCACTTATAAATTCATAAATATAATTTATTAGTACTTACAAAAGCATTTTTAGGAACGTACGTAGTTAAGTAACTGCCTTGTACTCTGTATAGTTGTATGTACCGACTACCGCGGTATTAGCCTGTAATATTGCCGCCATTCAACTACTCCTTCAGGAAATCTCGTTAGAGTCGCATTAATCTGCTTTCACAGGCGTACTAATCCAGTAGCTGTACGAATACCCAAAGAGCAGTAGAGAAACAGTACTCCGACAAGCAGCGGTTTATCATCGAAGGTGTTTTTTTTTGTAATTCAGAACAAGGAGATCCGTTTCGATCCAGCGCAATGTTTGACCCACCTGCCCCACCACCGGTGCCTATACCGCCGAATCCACCTTTTATGGAAGTCGACAATCCTACAAAAACTACTACTGAAGAACCACCTGCCAAACCGCATCAATGGCCGATTAAGCGGGGATACATCCCATTCCACATAAGTAAGACATTTATCCAAACTGATATGCTGGATATGTAAGTACTTCAGCGGCCGTTTATTTTACCGCAGACTCTCAATACGACGAGAGCTATTATGGTCCACGATACAGACTGCTGGCGGAAAAAGCAATACGGGCTATTAACAGCATCATGGAAGGTTGCAAAGGGCCAGATTTTTTACGGCCTTCTGGACCGAAAGACTTGCATCCGATTTTGGAGATTATCATAAAGGATAGCCAGTTACAACCTGGCCAGTGTGTGCCCGAGTATGGCGACTTTTAAATAAATAAGTTGCTTTGCTTTGCAGTAAGTTCTGTATGACGTTTTAGAGATGGATTTAGTGAGCAAATTGGATACGTGCCCTGGCCGAAGCCTTCCTGGGAGAATAAATTCAATCCCCGAAATCCAAATATTATCCAGGCTGATGTTCGCTCGTTCGTTCACCACAAAGATTACGTAGTTGAAACGCTTTTTTTGCACGAGACTTTGCATTCGGTATTTAATATAAAACATGAGCACACCAGACGGGACCGAGACCAGTATATCGTAACAAAAGAGGATCGTTTGAGATGTCAAGGTAACGGTGGTGTAAAAAGCATTTGAGAATGTATTTCAACGGAAGTTTATGTCATAGTTCCAGACCTTCCAACGTACTACACTATCGATTACACCGCATCAATGGCCTATCCTTACGATTTAGTAAGCGTAATGGCATCTAACTTCACGGATAATGCCGCAAACGAAATAGATCACACAATGGAACTGCGAAGTGGCATTCCGTCATACTGGGATATTGGACCGCAGCCGTCCGGATTAACATTTTTTGATGCGCAAAAAATGTTAGATTTTTACGGCTGCGTGAACGAGAATCCAATTTCCATAAACAGTAAGTGATCAACTAATAGTACTCGTATTTTTTGAAACAAATATAGTTCTCATTTTTTACAAACTTACGTAAAGGCTTTACTCACTGTGTATGAAGCGTAGACAGATTTTCACAAGTATCTAACTATTTTGGTTGGAAAACTGGATAAAGCACCAACTTATTGAAGCCATACTTACGATACAGTATAGCGTTTATTCTTGCAGACGATGAAAATATCGTGCACTACAGTTGTCAACTTAACACATCAGTCTTTTTTCTTAGTAACTTCAGCATTTTTGCGTTACAATGGATATATTTTTAGCTACCAGAAGAACCGTCTATCTGGCAGATTGGAAGATCAGCTGCACTGGAAAAAAAATAACACTGCGGTATAAGAAAACTGGGCGGGCTGCTGCAGATTTTCACGCCATGATGAACGAATGCCTTCATGTTACGGAAACAGAGCATGCAGTTCTAGCTAACCTGGACATCGACCATTCGATCGGCTCCCGTGGCATATGCACTGTGATTTACAAGGTTAACAGAAACGGGTGTTCCTACCAAGCAGTTGAATCAAAGGGGCGATTCTCGGGCATTGTTATGCGCACCAGTCGAGTTATGCGAACGTTTGAAAGTAAGGCTCTGGAAAACAACTCCGTTCAGAAGTCTCTGGAACTTAAAGATTTAATCGCGGCGTCTTCCCAAAGCAAAGTGACAGCGGAGAACTGCCATCAGTTGTGCCATGTAATGCCGGGTTTATGCGTGGCGGCCAGTGTTGTGAATGGACAGCATTGCACTCTGCATGAACAGCTGAAGGAACCCATACATTTCCGCCGTGACGCCCGTGCAACGACGTACATCGTGTCGGACTGGGAAAACGACGAAAGCTATAACCCGCTGGTCTAAGTGTTTTCTTAGCAGCTTTCACTGCAATTCGCTTCGCATTCCTGTTGCTTTATCATAAAAAAAGTCGTTTGTCATTAACTGAAGCGCCTTCGCAATCGAATATCGTTATTTAATTATTCAAGAACCATTTTTTGTGAGAAATGCGTAAATTACCAGTACATACCATAAAAGCCGAGCTGTTGTAACCGAGCTTGCTTAACTGCAGACTGCTAGCTAAATAATAAATCCGGCATGGATGTACAAGCTTGTCGAGAAATTATGGGCGCATGGAAACAGCGAAAAATGCACATTCATGGGTGGCGCCAACCTCCATACCACGGCACACCGGGCCACATTGTTCACGCGTTACATGAATCAGACATGCCTAGTGCACGTCAAATATTTATAGATCCTAGTTTAACAAAATTATTTTCTTTGTTGTTTTACTCGTAATATGCTGCTTACTTCAGAAGGTAAATTAATATTGGAAGTATTGCATTAAACAATTATTATCGCGATAACTGTAGTGCAGAGGCCATTGTTTTAATGTGCGGTAATCGTCATCTACAGTCTTGTTACATATGCGTACCTGAAAATCAGAAATATTCAAATAACATATATAAAACTAATAACAAGGCGAACGGAACAATAATTTTTACCAGTAGCTGAACTGTAGTGTTTGTACATGTTCACCTATGGCCCCTTTCGTGCCATTCTATGTAATCGGCCTGTTTTTGTATTCCACGTATTTCTATGTATCCCACGTGTAGGGATGGCGTATAGAATTTGTGCTGTACTACTGCGTACGTACAGCTTCTCATCTGTTCTCTGTCTTCCCATTGTGTTCTGTTGCGTTGTGTAGACGCGGATGTGATTTTTGATATTTTCTTCTTTTGCATCCGATGTTTGATCATCTCACGCATGTGCAGCCTCAGTCGCTTGGCTTGCACGCCAGCGTCAGGGCATATTCCCTTCACACGTGTATTCTGTCAGTATTCACGTTGTGTGACTTGTATTCTCCATTATCCTGCTTTTGCAAGTACACCTGACTCTGTCTTCCTGTGCTGTTCTGTTACCGTATTCCCACATATTCTCCCCGTATGCTGCCCGCGTTTCCAATGTATTCTTCGGTTTCTTAGGCTTCTTAGGGTAGGTTTTTAACTAGTACAGCAGGTATTCCTACTGTATTCGCGAGGTGTTTTCCACCATCTAGGGTAGCTTTTAGGCATCGCTACTGTCTTCCTTAGTGGGTCCCCGTATTCTCCCGTATTCTCCAATGTATTCCTGAGTTTCTTAATTAGAAAATTAGAATACGTCTTGAATTCGGGCAGGATATCTGTATCTGCAGAATACGTGAGAATATCTCAACACACTAAAGAAGGGTGCAGCCATATGTCAGAGCTGAATAATAAAGAAATTGCTAATACGGTAGGAATGCAGGCTGAATACGTAGGAATACCGGCTATTTGGCAGAGAATACTGAAACCCTGAAATTAGGCTAGGTATGTACCTAATACCTGATTTGCGATAAGCAACCGGACTAGTACACATGCCCGAAAATCGCGAGCACAAGTCATAAAAAGTAATTAAAAAGCAATTAAGACTGTGCTTACTAGGAACGGGCATGGCCACAGAGAGACGGGCCCGTCTACCAAAAGTGACAATCGGTAGGCCGCAAGTGCACATGCACATGCGAGAGGTAAAAGGATGGATGAATCACAGGAGAAGGGAGAATTTGGTCTGCCGTGTGCCTGCCCGTGGCCGGTCCATCGCGCATGCAGTTTTTCGCAAGGCCAAAGAGGCAAGCATCCCTTTCAGACGCATGACGCGGTGCCTCCGAGTCATGGTATCTACAGCATGGGTACTGGCCGCTTGCTTATCGCAAATTCCGAAATACTCAACGGTTCTCATGCAAGTACTCATAATCCTACTCCTAATTCCGAATTCATACTCATAAGTCATAACGGCTCTCATAATCATAATCATACTTTGGTCCTACTGGTCATCATATTTTTGTTCATTATTGTAACTCATATCTTAACTCATATCTCACATAGTTGTAATGGTTATGTAATATTCAATTACATGTAATATTGCTCACTCTTGGCCTGCACAGCTACCGAACGGCCACTAAATCTGGAACTTTTCTGCACCCCTTTCTCGCTGTTTTCCCACTGTTTTTTTCCATGCCAAAGTATGAGTTTTTTTACTTGAACGCGGAGCTCTTAATTAGAGCTTGCCCATTGGGTAATGGAGATTCATTATGGAAGCATATCTTCTGCATCTTCCTTTTTTTCCCTGCAATTTGTGGAGCAGGCTGCTGGATATACGACGCCTCGCTGTTGGAATAACGGTCGACTGTTGGATATCTGGCCCACCATAAAGCAGAAGCAGCTGGCTGTTTTCTCTACTTTGGACGTTAACAACATCCGGTAAGCCAAGACTCCTCGATCTGGCATCATCCAGAAATTACACGCCGCATCGTTTTCCACCTTTTGCGTTTTGCACACGACGCGGTGCCTCCATCCATGCTGCCGTGTGCCTTACATCGAGGAGGAGGAGCCTCTTATTCCATCAAAGACTGTGCAACTGCCATTCGCCATCGGCATTTGGAGTGGCGGAGTTGTCCAATCAGCTTTTGCTACTTCATTCTTTTTTAGGCCCTTTTGTGATGTGCAGGTCGGCTTGCCCTTTTTGCGGCGCCAAAATATTGCCTTGTTGTCAGTTACGTAGCACTTTGTTTGATTGTTTTCATGAAATTGTGAACTACATGTATTGACTATCTTGAATCGTTACCAACCACAGGACAATAAAGGCTGAGACACGATGTAGTCTACTCAACCGTCCACTATCGTCTACTCGTCAAAATTATTTCATCTCACCTAGAAGCGAAAAAATATTTATTAGAAAATGGCTTCACTGCAAAATGACTTCAGTAAACTTGATCTGAGTAACGAAAGCTAAGTAATTAAATCTGCATATAAAAACTGCGTAAGAAAATCTACCATTGTCCATTTTCGTCCATATTTTTAACTGGTGCTAATGATAAAATGACTGAAATGTGAATGGGCTTACTACGTAGATTCCATCAAACAATACCCGTTGACTTTTCATTTCCACAAAACTAAATTTTGACAAAAGCACCGTGTACACAGTAAAGCAATGGAACGGTAATAACGCAGTTTGATCGTTGCAAGCCAGGGCAACAGCAGATATTAAATGAAGATGTTCAAAAAAATTTAAGAACGGTGCATATTATACGCAAGAGCTATTACTACTTAGTATCAATAATACGGTATTTACGATTAATAAAATAATAATATAATTATTTACTAATAATATTAAGCGGAGTAGCGCACTGGTATGAGTAGCGGCGAAGGTATGAGTTATGAACAAAAATATGATAATCAGTAGGACCAAAGTATGAATATCATTATGAGAGACGTTATGAGTATGAATTCTGAATTAGGAGTAGGATTATGAGTATGAGGACCGTTATGAGTATAAGGTACATACCTAGCCCTTGAAATTATAATTACGTATTATAGCGGACGCGGAGAATACAGTATGAATACCAGGAGGGAGTAAGCATCTTCGGTAGCGCGTTCGTATAGTCAAGACTCTTTGAACACTGTGCGTCAAGTGTGTGCCAGCAAGATTCACTGAACTGCCAACCGTGGAATGTTGCCCATCTGCGTGCACCTTACCGTCAACCGTGGATGGTTGCCCTGATTGACAGTGGCCAAGTTAAACGTGGATTGCCAGCCTTCCGTGGTTGACTGTTAAGCCAGATTTGCAGTCAAACGAGTGTTCAAACTTCAAATTGTCTTGACTATTCGAGCGCGCTACTGAAGATGCTTGTTCCCTCCTCGTACAGTACGAATACAACCGGAATACTTAGGATCTTTTCACAAGCAGGGATACAACAGGGCGATCCCAAGGGCCCGCTGTTATATTGCCTCGCCACCATCAAGCAACACCGTCACTGAAATCAAAATTCCGTGAGAGCTTTTTGGATGACGATGCGCTTGGAGGTGACCCTGAGGACGTGTACGATGACCTATGTACTTTGCAAGAAGCGCTGAAAAACGCCGGGCTGCATCTGAACATCGCAAAATGCGAATTGGTAGTGATCGGAGGGTCCGAAACCGATCGCCAAAGAGTAACTGACGCATTTCTTCTATCGTTTCCTGATTTACAATTGCCACACCTGAGCGCGTTGAATTACCTCGGCGCACCACTCCACGATGACGCGGTTGCGGGCACCCTAGCTGCTGAAACCGATAAGATCGCCAGGATGACTCAATGCTTAAACCTGCTGCCTGCCCACCACGCGTTGTATCTTTTGAAATGCAGCATGGGACCAGTAAGAATGATCTACAGGTTGCGAACTGCACGGTGCTATTTGCAAGGAGAGCTGTTGCGACAGTTCGATAAAATGATAATCCGTTGTCTGTCCCGAATTACCAATGTGAATATCACTGACGCCATATGGACGCAAGCGTCACTTCCGGTCGCACAGGGCGGTCTCGGAATTCGGAGCATTGAGAAGCTGGCCCTCCCGGCCTTTTTGGCCTCGGCTTACTCAGTAGCTAAACTGACCAACGAGATAGTAGTTTTCGACCCGGAAATCTATTGTTGTGGCGCCTTAGAAGACTGGCAGTGAACAACCGAAGCCGATCTCCCGACTTCCGAAACCCGAAAATTCCAGAAGACATGGGATGAACCGATCATCCGGGGCATGGCAGAAGCCCTGCTGGTGGCAGCCCAGTCGGACATGTCAAGTGAAGCTCGTCTTCGTGGTGTGAGCACTAAAGATAACGGCGCATGGCTGGAAGCACTTCCAGCCGCAATCCTCGGAAACTTCCTAAACGATACCACACTCAGAATTGCTGTCGGCCTGCGTCTCGGCGTACCAGTCACCATTCCACACCGTTGTAATTGTGGTGAATGGGCTGATGCGCGAGGATACCACGGCCTGAGCTGCAAAAAAAAGCCGGGGCCGGAAGCCGAGGCACAGTTGCATCAATGCCACTTTAAAGCGCGCCTTCGCTTCCGCCGGTATTGAAACGGAACTGGAACCACCTGGTACTTGCCTTACCAGCGGGAAGCGCCCCGACGGAGTGACTTTGTCCTTGGGAAAGAGGAAAGATGTTGACCTGGGATGCCCCATGTGTGTGCACGGTAGCCTTGTCACACATCGCGGCAACATCGAAGCAAGCGGGGGCAGCCGCAGCGCGCGCAGAGCAGGATAAAGTGGCGAAGTATCAGGAACTCACCCGAGATTACCTGTTCCGTGCATTTGGCGTCGAAACACTCGGACCACTCGGACCGGACGCCTCTCGTTTGGTCACCGAAGTCGGGAAGATGATACGACAGGAAACAGGCGAGGTACGGGCGATGGAGTTTCTGCGCCAACGGATCAGCATTGACATCCAACGCGGGAACGCGGCCTCTGTCATGGGAACAGCACCAGTATCGGCTAACTTAGACGAAATGTTCTGTGTGATTAGGCCGCCTATTTCCGTAGTCGGCTGAGGCTGTGCATTCAGTACAAATCTTTCACTTTTATAGGAAACTTGTGACTGTATCGTTTTGCCAATAAAATTTATATTCAATACTTAGGATTGCTTGGAATACGGTAACAAAAACATGTGGTCGGTTTTCTAGAGCGGTACGAAATGGGCCATATCTAACATGTTTGCCACGCCGACACTAACCGTATTGAATAGATGTATTATAGTATTCTGCAGGCCCGCGCTCAAGCTCTGACTCTGACTCTGACTCTGACCACTCAAACTCTGACTCTGACCACTCAAACTCTGACCACTCTGACTCTGACCACTCTGACTCTGACCACTCAAACTCTGACTCTGACCACTCAAACTCTGACCACTCAAACTCCGACCACTCTGACTCTGACCACTCTAAATCTGACTGTGACCATAGAAACTCTGACCACTTGGACACTTACTCTAAATTATTCTTGCTTCGACCAGCAAACTCGTGTTACTGCTAGTCTTCTACTAAGGTTGATCTGGGACTTTAACTGCAGCTTCTGAAAATCTTGACTATTGACTTATGTTCTGAAAGTGTTGACCACAGGTCCAGAGTGGACCGTGGAATCAACCGCTGACGGACTTCGGGACCCAGCTGTATTCACAACAGTAAAGGTTTGCGGTGGAAACGCTGGGAGTGATTGGAGAAGGCGCGAAAGACATGGTCAGCTTCACTGGACGCCTAATTCGGGGAAAGACCGGAGAAAGCCGTTCTGCCGCTTTCTTGAAACAGCGCATTAGTTATAGCAATAATGAAGGGAAACGCTGCTGCAGTTTTAGGCACTTTGCCGGGCAGAAGTAAATTTGGGGAAGGGAACAATTTTGGTTGTTTTTGGAATTTGTAACCGTAGTATAATCATTGTTGTAATATCGCTGAACACGGAGGAAACCATGCAATACAGTGAGGGTATTCAAACACCCTTAACAAGTTGCTCTATTTCCTAAAGATGCCAGATCTTTTAACTTTGGGTTCTGCATTACAATGGGACGAAGGCTCTATAATTTTCTTCTCTTTAACTTAACACCCGTCATCTTAAAGTACCAAAAGGGTTACTTTTTGATATAGGGTTTGCTGAGTTTAGGAATCGCTAGTGCAAACTAAATAGGGTCCTGCACCTGATGTGCGGGTGTCTTTTGCAGACTACTGACATTTGTTTTCAGTGGTTTTAGACTTTCTGTCCTTCTGTAAAGAGGGATGCGTAAACACCAACTTATTTTTTAACCGATTTTTATCATTAACCGATTTTATCATTAACTCTATTAATTTTTATCATTAACCGATTTAGATAAATAGAATTGGCAAGTGAGAGTTAAAGGGAAATATAACTTTATTAATAATAATTGCACAGTTCAGGTAAGAAAGAAAGAAAAACGCTATCTTATTCACAACAGCAAAACTTCATTTAAACTATCCACTCCGTCCATTGTGCCAAGGATAGATGCTGCATTTCCACGCTGAATCTCCAGCGATATTCGTTGACGTACAAACTCATGCGATCGACGCTCTCCTGTATGCATGTAAGGGAAATCGCATCTTTAACTTATAGAGCCGTTCGTAAAGGATGTTTGAGTACCCTTAACAATGTATAATTCACCGACTTGACTGTACCGATCGTAAGGTCTAACAGTGCAGCAAAGGCAGCCGATACCGATTCTGCATAAAACTAATCGCTGCTAAAATCTTTTGGCGAACGCTAATGCCACTACATAGCGTTATCAAGGAACAAAATCTACAATATAACCACAAAAAAAGCTGAGACATCGAAATCGAGAAACCGGAAAATAATCAAAAAAACTGTAAACGCCATTAGATTCAGCAAGTTTAGAAACTGGGTCATATGCACTTGATTACTTAAAAAGTTATTTAAATCCGTCCCACCGGTGCCGGTTCCGGCAAAGCTGGCTTCGGTAAAGCTTACAAGTCGACTTAGAGAATAATAGCAGTGCCAGTTGCCTAGAACATTTATTAAAGTTTAAGTATGTACTGTAATAAATATGTAATTATTTTATTTGCAAACATGCTGAACCTTAATAACCGGATTGCTGTAAATCGAATTACAATGTTCATATGCCTAAAAAGAAAAATCTGAATTCCCAACCATGTTTACATCAGTCCAGGTTTCGAAGAGACCAAAATCCAGTGAACAAAATTGCTAAGTGAGTGAGGTCCTAGCTACCACTGTCTAGTGAACAAAACAAAATCGCTAGAGCTACCACCACTGTTCAGTGAAGAAAATTGCTGAATGAGTGAGCGACGAAGCCTTTTTTGTGCAGAAAAAGCCGACATTGGGAATATTGTGCAGAACTGCACCGCACTTTCAGAAACTGCGAAAGTTCTAATAAAATAACTGTCGTGCACAAATCTTGATGTGAGTAAGTTCAAACCGCGACGTGTGACCTTTGATAAACCAGCCCACACGAGCCGTAACAATTATGTTGTCGCCCGCAAAAATAGGAAAGTATCTCATCGAGACTGTCTTATAAACGACTCGATAACATCATTTTCTCGTTTCGGTCGGAAATTGGATAAGGCACCCACTCCTACTGTACGAATATTTCTGCCGTAATTGTCACTGAATCAATCTTGCTGTTTATAGAATCTCAGGCAAGTACTGTACTAATGTTCTTGCTATTATTTACTTTTAATATTTATTGAGTATCTTTAGCGTGTTGCTGTGTGATCGACTGGAAGCCAATTGGATTGTGCTGTACTTGAAGTACACTATACTTACTGTATAGATACAAGGAGCACACGAGCCAAAGGTAGAACAAATGAAATGAAAGTAATGAATCAAATGTCGTTCCACGAGCCAAATTGTTTATAGCGATTTACTGCCATTAGCCCAGCCAAAGCCAGATTAGTAACTATTTAACGATAAAGCATTATAATGTCAAAGGAAAAAAATATTTACTACAAACTACAGTTATTCTAGCTCTATATATTTAAAAAGGAAGGTAGTCTACCTTTTGTATTTGATTTATTTATGCAAACGCCAGAATCCACTAACGGGGAAACCGTAGAGTACATTGCTCCACGGGGAAAACCCGCAAAATAAACAGAACGACTATAATGACAAAAATTCAAAAAGGAGAAACTACTAAGTGAATTGGCAATCCAGATACAAAACAAAAATATTCCAACACAAAAGCCTAAGTTGGTTTCAGTTAAGCAAATACAAGTGCTTGTTCAGAAATCAGAATCAATCATTCGACAACAAATTAGACGCTAGTACGAAATGGCACAGTGGAGGGAATGCTCTCCATAAAATTCAGAAGCAATTTTTTCTGCTGTTCCGTTAACGCAATTTCTCTTCTCACTCCCTCTCCGAATCTCTGGCTTTCTAGGCTGATGTCTGGATGTCGACGTCGAACACATCCAATATTCAGATGGTACGCACAGTCTCGCGGTGGCATAACAGCGGTTTTTCCTTTGTCGTAATTTGGCTCGGTCCTCACAAGTATCAGATCCAGATCCGGCGTTTGCTGCGAAAACGGTGTGCGGCAGCCACAGCAGTGGTAACTAGCGTACGATCGCAAACCCCCGCCACCTTTCAGACTGCAGACCTTGAAAGGACCGACATTTAATTCCCACGGGAATTTGTTTCCTATATAACATAAGATTTGGTTGCACAAGTACCAGAAGCCAGACTGCGAAAGGTTTAGCGAATTTATAGAACACCATGGAGCCCGTAATAAATAGGAAAATCTGAGAGATCGTATTCAAAAAAGATTTTTTCGTTTCAACACTCAAAGTTATCGCACAATGACTTCTACTGAAGCCAACCGCACAAGTTGCTCCACTGGTAGATCCGGCCGTTGCCGTTGCCCTGCACACACTGAGCTAAAAATAATACAAGCAATGTGGTTGCAAATATACAGTATATTCGTATACCCCACTCTGTGGAGCAACTTGTGCAGGCGGCTACAGTAACTGTTTAAAATTACCTATCCGACATTCATCCTTCGAAATTTACTCGGTTTTGCAACATGTTTGCTACTTAATTAGTTAGTCTGCTTTTTAATTTACTTAATTTTTGCTAGCAGATCTTTTGTGTGCGCTACTAAATTTTTGCTGAAAGATCTAAGTTCCGTAAGCAAGATCTCGCAGTTCCCACAGTAGCATGGAACCGCAACGGAAGACAGACGCATACTTCCTTACCAAGAAAAGGGAAAGCGTTTGGCCACCATCAGTAAGTGTGTCTAATTCCAAGGATGGTATTATTTGGTCATGTACCTAAGTGGCGGAATCTATTCGCTTTCGTCCCCATATTTCAGCGAGGTGGCATACACCCACATAAGCCAGAACGCTCGTCTACAGGTACACTTGAATGCTTCTGCCCTATGACCTTGCATTCTTCAATGTTACTAGCGACACAAGACGTTACCGGCGAGCTGAAAATGGCACCAACGCTAAGAATGGGCTTTAGTATTTCTTTAAAACGCAGCTTATATTCGCATCTTTTGTAACATAATGCATAATCTGAGAAAATTATCGGACACAAAAAAAGATGGCAGTAGCGCCTGCCGCTGGCATTTGCCACTGGCAGTGGAATTTGTCGTTACAAGGTCTGGCAAGCGGTAAAACATGACCGCAAAGCTTTAAAGCTTCCCATCGTTTCGAAAACTGTAAATTCAGTTGCTGCTACATGTACATTTGTGCTATCGATGTATCAGAAACCACCTCAGATGCATTTTGAATTTCTTTAAATTACCTGCACCGAGTCATGCGACTAAATATGGTTTCCTTGTAGTTGGAATCTTTTACAGCTTTCTCATCGAAACATTAGAAAACCAAGTACTGGCGCATCAGTTTACGCGTTCTTGATGTATACGCGTACCGCTACGCAGGGCCGTAGCATGGTCTGAGCAATGGGGTAGGCGCAACGGCCCAAAAATAGCTGCGCATCCTCCAAGGACAACTGTGCCCTTAAACTTGTCCCAGTCAATTATATGGCAAAAAAATGAATCAACCCTGCAGTATGTGCGCGCTCAAGTGCACCCCATTTGCTTACGGCCATGCCGTTACGTGATCAGAGGTAATTTCGAATTTTCGACAGTTCTGCGCATACCCAACGCTCAACTGCCCGTCATTTAGAGGGACACCGGTACTACAGCGGCACAGCCTATTGACTTTTTGGTGCAATATTTTTGGTAAGTTGTCATTAATTTCAGTTTTCGTTTGTTACAAGAGCAATCTACCGGGCGTGACATCGTGATCTCCTTACTTGTGTTTTATGGGGATAACAACAAAATGGGGATAACAGCAAACAGCAAAATAAATTAGGCAAACGAATAGGACACTCAGTTTTTACGACATCCTATCTTTTTTTGCGAAATAAGACTATGGAATGTTTCTGCAAAAAAACTGAAATCGAAAATGACATGACCGACAAACAACAGCTGTTTATGATAAGGAAGTACTAGTACTGTCACTGCACAGATGCGGCGGTGACCGCAATTAATTTTGTGCAGTGCGTGGCTCCGAGGGCAAAGCGCTTTCGTCATAGTTTTTTTTTGCTACCATGTACCGGGTCACTTCTCTCAGATGTATGTCACCCAATCACTTATCATAGTAGCCCGCTCAAACGTAATTACGAGTATATTATTATATCTACAAATTATAGATAAATGTATGCGGTTCTACCTTTCTGTTGGGACGTGGTTTGCTGTTCCTCGCTCGATGGATACGCTAAACCGCTTAAACCAGCAATCGCTGATGGTACTTCTTCTCGTCCTTTGCGGATTGTTGCACCTTCAGCTGCTTTTCGGTCGATCACTTTACGCCGTGTTCCTTTTGGTTTGCGTCCGCTTTCTTTTGAAGTGGGGCGAACAATTTTCCGATAAAGTTTCCTTCTGCTGTGGAATTTCTCCAAATAACTCGGCAGACTACCCGCAAAAGCGGCAACCGCAATCGAATGACAGCAGATGCCTTTTGTCATAAAGCGATCACATCGGCAATCAACTTCAAATGTTCCCGTCTTCCAGGTCACAACTCTTTCCACGCGATCTCTTGGCTCATCAATAGCGTAGTCAACACAATTGTTTCTCTGAACTTTCGTCTCTGCCTTTTCTCGAATACGTTGCTGCTGAAGGATGGTGCGCGCAGCGTTCCAGTCCAAACGATGTTCGTCTGCCAAGGTTGCTTCGACGAAACTGATAGGAAATTCAATCCCACGATTCGATGCTACACAAGCATTCGAAGCTTCAGGTTTCAAATGCTGCAACAAATCATTATCCGGAACGATTCCAAAAATGTCGATGTACGCTTTCTTCAAAGTGTCAGGTTGGAATAGCACTGCTGTCGTGCACGCTGTCGCATGAACGTTCTTGCGACGGAATTCACCACGCCCAACAATGCTTTCCGCCATTTGCCGTTCTTGATGAAAAAATAATCGCTTCAGGCCACGAACCGTTTCCAGATCAGTCAGCGTTCGCTTTGGCTTTAATTCCAGCTTCTTTCGCACCATAGAATTGGCTGTTTCGGTCGCGTTATTTTGACACAGTCTATCTCCGAATCCAGCTGGCTCGCGTGCTTCCAGTATGAGTTTATGGATGTACTTGCTTTGGACATCTGGGTCAAAGTACCGGTCGGTAAATCCTGGATGCCGCGCTTCCCAGATTTCCTTCAGAGCGGCAAGTTGTTCGTTAAATTCGCGGGTGGACGAAGCATCGATGAGCCCTTTAATAAACGTATTCTGGCTTGGCCGCACAACACCGAAGATATCATTAACGGTCTGCTGCAGCTCGTCTTCTGCACAGTAAGAAAATTCGTTCGCGAGAAGCCGCTTCAAGTTTTGCTTAACATGCAGCACGCACAGCAGGTGCTTTGCTTGGGGTATGATGTCCCTAAAGCGAAATCATGAATTATTGTTCAGCAATTCGTTATTGTTCAATAATTAGTATACACTGTTCTTTTAATTTAAGCAATCACACCGTTCACACCCTTCTACACCATTTTTGCTCTGTGCTGACCCTGCTCAACTTTTGCTCACTTATTTTACCTCTGTTAATTTTGTTTAGTGGCATGGGGTATGATGGGATAAGGAGAAAGCAGAAATGAGCACGATGAACACCAACGAACTATGCGCAAAGTGCGCTTTTGTTTTTGCATGTGCACCATGATGACGGGATCGTTGTGAGATATGATTACAATAAATTCAAATGTCAATCGCATTCAAATCATGCATGGTATGTTCGCGGAACCCAGGAGTGTTCGTACACAAGGTAATCCGCGCAAAAAGCGATGCACACAGTGAAACGGCTTTATAACCATGTAAAAGGTTGTGAACACCTTTAACTGAATATTGCATCTTTGACCAAACCACGTTCATGAGAGTGTAAGAAGTACCAGTATGTACGAATCTCTTTGTTAATGAGTAAGCATTTTGCCTATAAAGCAAAATGCTGGTATCAAAGTGCCAGTATGGCGTGGAATTTTTTTCCGATATTTCTCCGGTCAAGCTGCTGCGATGGCGGCGGACAAATGCTGATCAGACGTTGCTGGTGCAAAGCATCCCTTTGGGCGGCTATTACTCGCAGAACGCAGCAGTTACTAGCTTTTTGTTTCCAAGCCACCTACCAAAGTACCGGGTCACCGGCGAATACGAAGATCTAAGGCGATGCCTTAATTCAGTCACGAACTGCAACTGAAAGCCGATTCAGCGGTCATAGTCGTAGAGGCACAGCAAATTTTTATAAGGCCACGCACTGTTAAGAACCGATGACTTTTGCGGACATCATAATCTTAACTACTTGCGTCCGCCGAAATGTGCGTTATAAGTTTGGATAGCGCATAATGCACCGTATTGCCGGAGTGCTGCAAGCTGGGTCGTGAATATGGCGGCTAGATTTCCGTCAACCCGTCAACCCGTAGCAAAAATGTGTTTCAAATTGGGCGAAAGTGAAAGTTTTCGTGCATGTACACGAATTTGGTACCATGTACCGGACCACTTCCCTAAAATGGATGCGCTGCTTGTGAGCGATGTGCAGGTGATTGTAGCATTTGCTAGTGCGCTAATCGTAACGACAATGCAGCATGAGCTACCAAATAGTAGCTGCGGTATTAAGCCTGAAGCAAAGCTGGATGTTGCCAGTTTTTGCTAACAAAAGGGTTAACTGAAAACCATGGTTTTTATTTGAAAAAGAACTTGACGCGCGCTAGAACTTGACCATTGTAGTACAAGGTATGTAAGTCAACAAGAAAATGTAAAAAATAGAGGAACAAACTTTTTACCTTACGTGCGATGACGTTAATTCGGTAATATCACTGTCTGAGATGGACATCGACCGCTGACGAACGCCACTGTGGTTCCTGTAGATTGAAGTCGCAATTTATTCGAAATTATTTTACGCACACTGCCGTTATGTCAATTATTTGCTAATGAGATCGTGCCACTAAGCAGTTGATTAACACAAAGATTGCATTACACAAAACAAGCAGTTCAGAAGTGCTACGACCCATTTCTTACCCTTTCTCTGGCGAACTTAAAATCTCAATGTCGGTTTTCGGACGTCCTAAGCTGCTACGAGCGCGATGACCAAACAAAGGACTTCTGCGGCTGTAAATGCACATGAAAAGGTCAGGGCTTTCTTGCCAAAGTACGTAAAAGCATGGTTTTAAATTTCCGAAACGTTACCTTTTTTTGGGCTCCGGCGATTCCAAATTCTCTTGATGTGACAGGTTCTCTTCATCGAACGGGTCTTCGACGAGGTGACGTTTTCCAAGCAAGCTGGCACGTCTGCGGCAAAACAGCGGGCATGCGGTTACATGGCTTAAATACAGTTACAGACATAACTAAAAAGCTTGAGCAAACACCTGTTAAATGACTCAGTATTCCGATTGCGTGTGCGTAGTCGTTCACTAGCTTTGACTACAGGGCTAAAGGAAGAATTTTCAGGAATGGATATTGGCCGCGCGATTTTAAATCCGACACAAAAGTTAATTTTGAACCACTCTCTACTGCGGGACCATCTTTAAGACAAGGAAACTCAAATTACTACTGCCGTAACAATTCTGTCATCGCTCTTACAGCTAATTTATGGACCTTTTTTAATTGATATAAGAGCTGAGGGCTATTTCGCAGACATGTCTAAGTCAATGTGATCCTAAATTTGCCAAAGAGAAGACTCGGTTTAGGCCCGTAAAGTTATATATGGCACTTTCGAACATGTTATTTTCTGGAATCAACATTTTGGCTTGTAGTACCGTAGGCCACCGTAGTTAGATGCTGCCTCCGTCACTACGTGTAGGTTTTTTAGTAACCGGCAGTGATCTGTGTGGCATTGTGTAGCAACCTATAATCTCGCGGAGTTTTTTATATTTTGGATAGCCGCGAGTAGTCTGTGTAGCCTCGCGCAGCCACCACTAGGCTCGGTAGTTTGTATTGTTTTCTGTATTCTCAGGTAGTCAGCGTAGTTCCTTTAGTTTCCGGTAGTCACCGATAGTCTCGGTAGTTTGCGCAGTTTCCTGTACGTCCAAGTAGTATGCGTAGTTTTCGCTAATTTCCGGTAATTTCGGTAATTACCGGTATTCTCGATAGTTTGTGTGGTTCTCCGCATCCACAGGTAGTCTGTGCAGTCCCTGTAGTTTTTGGTTGTCAACGATAGTCTCGGTAGTTAGTGTAGTTTTCTGTATTTCATATTAAATCTTCGTAGTTTCTGTAGTTTTCGGGAGACGCTTTAATTAGCCTTGTAGTTTTAATTACCTGCAAAAAGGTTTCTTCAAGTTTGCTTTTGTTGCTACAGTATTCCAAAACTTGTTAAAAGTTTAAGCCTGCAAATTAAGCCTGTGTAAGCCATAAAGCCGGTTTAAGCCTTAAAGCCCGCAAAATTTAAGAAAATTAGGAAACCAAACAACTAAAATTTAAAAGATCTAAGAACTTTAGGATTGATGCTGTGGGCCCAGAAATTAGTCGTTTAAGAAGTGTCTCATACGACTTCATTGCGACGAAACAAAACTTCAGTACGTAATTACGTAAGACTACACGGACTACCGGTAGCGCGCCAAACCAATGGCTACACAAAACTCGAGAATCTGCGTTAAACTACAAGGACTACTGGTGGGTACACAAACTACAGGATACTAAAAAAACTTTAGCAGATGCATGGAGCTACCTAGACTACCGGTGGCTAGAGACTACAGAAAACTATCAGATCCATAGCATTTTTTTCCGATCTTAAAACGAACTTCAAGAATTTCACAATTCATTTTAAAATTATGGGAAAATGCTATGAACCTGAAATTGGTTCATTTTTGAGTCTATGACCAAGTGCATTGGCAGCAAAGTTTCAAGAAGATTGGGTAATCACCAGACTTTTGGTACACAACAGTGCAACTTTTAACCCATTTTAGTACGCCATATCTTGGCAACCGGATGCTAAGCGGGCAAACGGTTATCAGAGCAATGCATACAAATCATTTGGCTTTGGAAGGACATAAATTAAAGTATTACAAAAACATGATTCAGAGTGCCCAAAAGCGAAAGTTTTTAGTGTATGTATGTAGTTTTAGTGTTTGTTTGACACAATGTACCGGACCAATTCCCTCACAAGCAACGGCTCAGGCTGGTTAACCAATTACATTGAGGTCTATATATTAGGACATCATCCTGTGCTCGCGGATATTCCATTACAGATACATGGATATTTTGCCTATGTAGCAAGTAATCTGTGTTGATGCTTCCACACCAGAACATGCACGCGGCATTCCGTTGTAATAAAAAATACAAAAGTACAAATGCATACGTAAATTTAAAAAGTTAAGGTTGTGAATTGTAGTACACGGAACAAACTGTAGTACAAATATCTATCTTGCTTCGTCGTAATATGCTCCCAAACCTTGCAACCGGAATGATATTAAATTCTCAGTTGCTCGACGGAATATAACTTGACTTCCGGTTTTCATTTATTCCATTCAAAGAATAATATTTCGGTTGCCCATGGGCCATCTCGTATTTCTCTCGTTGAGAAAGGATGCAATTGTAAACTTAAATACTGACTAATCGACGTGATCAAGCAAAAATGCCATCGACAACAAGAGGCTACGTACGTATGTATACGTATGCATTAGCAAAAGATGAAAACGTGGAACGTCAGTCTGAATAATTTTACATCAAACGGATCTACGGATCATTACTGCGAACGCGATTTTGTGTCTTACAATTCATCAATGGAAAAAATTATTTAATAAATACAAAATATGTTTACTTGCCTACAACTTTCCGCAGCTGCTTCAACCGTATCCGACTCATGCCCCGTCAGACTGAAGCTATCTTCCAAACTTCCGCCTCCAGCCCTGCAGACCATAATGCTCATGTAGATACACTAATAAATTGAAATTATTTCTATTCGACGGTATCAAATTTCGTTACTGCTGCTCAGTTTAAATCTGCTGAATAAAACTCACCCCTCAATCAGAACATGATTATTTCAAATTGAAAGTTATGATTTTGGCGGTGATGAAATCTTTGTCGCGTTTCGGGTAATTTGTCGCTGATTTGTTTGTTGTTTAGAGTTTTTGAATTGAACCGCTTCTTGCTAGCCGTGGCGGCGGCTTATTTCAAAAACCAGTAAAATAGAGGTCTTTTTAAAAACAATTACACA